TCGCCTGTGCACAGATAAACACGTCTGGATTTGCTTCTGAAAGATGTACATCTAATATTATGCACATTATGCGTACCTGCTGATCTGAGCCTTTGTTTGTAACGCCTCTGTGGCTCTTGCCTGCTTGCCCAACCACTTTTGCATCTCCGTGTGCATGCACGCAAGCATCAGTGCACTGGCAAGCATCCACAACCATATCTCCGTCTGCATGCAATTATGCATGTGTGCGTCGATATGCAAGCATGCATACATGCATGTATTCATGTATGCACGTACATACAAGCATGCATACATGCATGCATGCGTGCGTACTTGCGCAGCGGATGAAACAACAGACGAGGCTCGTCTACGGATCGCGCAGGAGTACCTTCGCCAGGTGTCGGCGACAGCAAAGGGGAGGCGGCCAAAGAAGGGCCCCTCAGAACTTTTCCCTTCTGCTTCTGAAGCACAAGGAGAAGCAGAAGCACCAGATCCTGCCTTTGCGTCTTCAGAAGACAGCGACGGCAGCAGAGATAATGAGGATTCAGATGATGATGATTTGTGTGAATACGAAGAAGGGAAGGAGGCCCTGGCAGCAGAACTCAAGAAGAAAGCAGAGAAAGGCAAAGTGGGTCTAAAGAACAAACACCACCAGCTTGCTATTTAGGGCCTATAGTTTGGGGTTCAGAACGCGTGGAGGGCAAACTTCGTCGCCTCATGTACATTTTTAAATCGGTTTGTTGCAGCGGTCTTATGCTTTTGAAGAACCTCATATGCCGCCATTGCCTGCGTGTCTGTCTTTCTCTTTTTCTTTGCCTTTTCAGCTTTCTTCTCACCAGATGTCGTCTGTGGCCGCCGACATTCGCCTAAAAGACGCGGCGTTTTTCAAAGGCCACAAACTCCCCGTCACATGCGTTGCCCTCCCTGGAGAGGGAAGCTGCGACCCTAGCAACAGCAGCAGCAGCAGCAGCGGTTGTGCGTACACTGGCGGGAAGGACTGCTGCGTGATTCGGTGGGACTTAGAGACTGGAAAGAAGGTGATTTTCAAGGGCCAGCGAAACTGTTTCGTTGTTGCAGGAGACAGAAACAGCAACAGCAAGAGCAATGGAATTAGTGCAAACTCTTCTAGAGGCCATTTTAGAGCTGTTTTAAGCGTTTGCGTCGCCGATGATGAACGGCTCTTCTTCTCTGGAGGCGCAGATCACACCATCAAAGCGTGGGACCCTCGCGCCTCTAACGAAAGGTATGCAGCTGTTGTGTCAGGAATATTAGGTGTCCGTATACCCAAACGCTGGTTCATCGTACATATACGCTGCTGTTCATGCACTTGACTGTTATGTTACTCCAGCTTTGGCTTACGCAACTCATAAAAGCTGCCGAAACCGCAGATGGACAAGTGCTGCTGCAGCTGGTGTGCTGCATTTGCATGCGTGCACCAACAGCAGCCTATTGATTCTGTAATTCGGCTTTTTGTAGGTGTATATTTGAGCTACGTGGACACCGCGGAGCTGTGACTGGCCTCTGTTTGAACGGCGGGAAGTTGGGGGCGACGGACGCTGAAAGCCAATTGCTGAGTTGCAGCGCCGACAAGTCCATCAGAAGTTGGAGTGTCAGCTGCCGCAGCTTCTCAAACTGCTTTTATGGCCACGCCTCAGAAATCAACTGTATAGACACTTTGCAAGCAAACAAACCTATCACAGGAGGCAGCGACGGCACCCTCAGAAACTGGAAGGTGCGGAGATAGCGACCCAGCAAACGCAAGAATAAGTAAAGGATTTAGTTCAAATTGAAAGCACCTGATGCTGCTTGCTTTCTGGGCAGCAGCGGCTCTTCGTAATAACTGGCGACACTCTTAATTCTCGGCACAGTTCAGTGGAGGCGGGACTTGAGGGGGTGGGGGGAACAGAGAGAAAAAGAAGTCTTTTCGACTCGCTACGGCAACTAGCTGATGGTGCCTTGCTTGTTTGCTTATTATTTGCAGCAGTGGCGTTGACTGCCTGTCCGCCTGCCGTTGGTTTTTGTTGAACTGCATGCGTGCCTGCCTACCGCTCTGTTGGTTTGCTTTGTTGTTTTTCTTTGTTTGCTCATTCACTTCACTTTGATGCTTGTTCGTTTGTATTTTACGTCTGCATCGGTTTATCTCCATTCTTTCAAATTCGTATGTGCGATGAGAGGCACTCCATCTGTCGACGGCGTTGTCTTTTCTGTTATGCTTTTAACAACCCTTCATCTGCTTCTTAAACTTGGGATCGTGATCATTCTTTGGTCATATTTGTTTTTGTCTTTTTGCGGTTGTTTTGATTACGTGCAGCTCGTGCAAGACACACACATAGCCTTCCCTCCTCTGGGGTCGTGCGTGGATTCTGTGTCGCTGCTCTCGCCATCTCTTTTCGCCTGCGGGACCCAAGGGGGTTTGCTGGCTTTGTTCACCAGCAGCTGCAAGCGGCCGCTGTCTTGTGTGCGTGTCAGCCAGCACGCTGCTGCGGTTGCTGCCTCCGGAGACACCTCGGAAGCTACGCACACACTCCAGGCGCTGCAGAAAGCTCCAGCGCCTCTACGAGCCACTGCAGCAGCAGCAGCTGTCTCTGCGGTTTGCGCTTTTCCCTTCACTGACGCACTTCTCGTGGGCCTGGAAGAGGGAACTGTGCAGCTCTGGGAGGCCTCCCAAGCAGCCAGTAAGTGTAGATTGCGGCTGATGTTCATTTTGCGTCCAGATTCTGTTGAATGGATGCCTCGCTTGTGAATGATTAATCGTCTCCCAGTTGTGGTCAGCTCTGATCTTGACTACGTTTCGTTGCTGTCTTGCCTCTCCTTTGTTGGTGTTTAGTTCTTGTTCAGTTGATGCATCGATTCTGTGTAATTGATGTAATTGATTAGTGTTACGGTTGCGGTCATTTGCTGCGTAGATTTGTGTTTAATCGTGGTTTAGATTTTGTTCGGTTGGCGTCTAGCGTTTTGCTCAGTTGGCACCTCCTACATGAAATTCTATGGGTTTGTGCGCTTCTTCACGCTGCGCATGCAGCAAAAGGCCCTGCACAATTCATCGAGTGTACTTTCGCATTCATCTGCTCCATCTAAAACGTGGAGGCGGTGATAAAGCCACGGAAATTTTACTGTTTAAAAACTTGCAGTTTTGTGTCTTTTGCAGACGCATCAATGTTCGTGCTTTCCGTTGCGTGCAGAGAAAGGAGGGGGCGGCTCCCTGCGCCCTGTGCTTGGTGCATGCATTGGGGCTGGCGGCTCAGTAAACGGCATTTCTTTGTCTAACGACCATTCATTTGCTGTTGCAGCTGTCAGCACCGAAAGCCGTCTTGGGCGGTGGTTTAAATACGAAGGAGGGAAGAACGGCATTCGCATAGTGCATATCCATAAACAATAAAATGCGAAGAAGAGTACAACACAAGAACACGAAAACTTCCTCCCCACTGGGGTGTACGTACACCGCAGTGGATGTCTGCAAAAGACGTCCGCACATGCAGGTCGTCGCGTTTTTCTTGGCGGACCCCAAACTGCTCGTCTTAATGCAGCAAATTCTGCTAGAATTACGTATGCTCCTGCAGTTACTGCTGCAGTTGCTGCTGATGGTGCTGCTGTTGTCGCTGCTGCTGTTGCTGCTGCTGTCCCAGAAAGAAGGAACACTTGTACACAGTTTGTGTTCATCTCACTAGCGCACAACGGGGCATTATACGAAGTGCGGAGAAGACAGAAATAAAGGGAAAAAGTTTATTAAAACATCTAAATCCAAAAGTACCGGAACTGCTGTCTTTCCTTCCGACGCAACTCTGCACGGCACCACATACTCTCCAGCGCCTTTGGGGGTAGCTGGTGCAGCAAATCTGTGAACGTCAATCGGTCTGAATCCCCACCTCCACAGCCGCAACGGCAGCTGCTGCTGCTGTTGCCGCTGGTACTGCTGCTGCCCGTGCTGTTGCTGCTGCTGTTGCTTCCGCTACTGCTGCTGTGGCTTCCGCTACTGCTGCTGCTAGGGTTGCTGCTGCTTCTGCTGTTTCTATTGTCGGTGGGGTTTTCAAGTCGGTTGGCTTCGCGACGGCAGAGTTCGAAGAGATTGTCGGCTAGTTGGTTTTGTTGCTTGTTGTTTTCTGCACAGCACCAAAGGCGTCTGAATTCCACTTTGTTTATTTTGTGTTCTAAAGGCATTTTCGCAGTCAGCCACACCTGCTGCAGCAGCGCATGCAACTCCCCACAGGCCCTCTGTAAGGTTTCAATATCTTCTCGCAACTCCATGTACGTACACTGCAACTGCAACAGCTCCTGGGGATCTCCTGCGCAGCCAGCAGCAACAGAGGACGAACCATCATCAGCAGCAGCCACCCGGCGAACACCAGCAGACGCGCAGTCAACGGCACCCCTGCATGCAGTCTTTACATCATCTTGCTGCCGCTTATGTGCCTTTTGCTGCTGCTGCTGCTCGATATGTTGCAGTGGAGGTTTTCTTCGGCCTTCTCTGGAGCGTTCTTCAAAAGAAGCACCTTTTGAGTTCTTCCCTTCTGCACCGCTGTAGCGGTTGCTGTCGCTGCTGCTGCTGTTGCTGTCAGTTTGCGTGACTTCTTGTTGGCCATTATGGGGTTTCCGTATGTTTCTGTGCTTGCTTATGCTGTAAGAGTTTCTTGTGTTCTTTGCCTTCCTCAGCCTCCGTTCTGTTTGCTGCAGTTTATCTTCCAGCTGCAGTCTAAGTCTGTACAGCTTCTTGTAAGTGCCGACGCAGCGGGAGAGGCAACCTAAAGAAGGATCTGAAAGGAGGCCTGTCTCCATCATTGTGAGCCCTGCAAGTGAAATGCAGTCGAAGGCGTCTTCAGGTGGAATCACACATTGAGCTGTAGGTACTCCCCGGCTTTCTTTGTGTAAGCCTCCACCTTCTCTAAATGACGTCTCTCCCCTTGAAGCCCCCCCTTCTATTTCTCCTCTCTTATCTTTCTTCTCGAGCGCCGCCAGGCGGTTTTGCAAGAGGATGGTTTTGTAGCGGCTGAGGCATGCATGCACGGCGGGGATCGGATCCCGAACCTCCCGCTGCTGCAGCACCTTTTTTGCAGCTGCTAAGGACCCCGATGATGATGAGGCATCATCGGGCCACACAGCAGCAGCTAGCGCCAGCTTAGGCAATTGGAAAAGAGAATCCAAGCCCATTGATCGCATCCCCTTCTGGGGACCTGCGTACATAGACGCTCGATCCATCAAGCCATCACTACCTGCTGGTGCTGCACCTGCTGATAGTGTTGCTGCAGGTATTGCAGCTGTTTCAGCAGCAGCAGCAAAGGTATCACCGTCGGCAGAGAGTGAATTCCGCGCTGCAGTTGGAGGCACTAGAGGGGGGTCCGCAGCTGCTCCTCCTCCTCTCCTCATGAACTGCTGGTGCTCTTGCTGATGCTGCAGCAACTCCCCTCCCTGATGCGGGTGCTGCTGCGTCTGCTGCAGCTCGCTTCGAACGTCCGCTGACGCCGCATATTCTTCCAAACTGGAGGAGGCCGCTGCCCCCATTAAAATGCTAAAGCTTCTACAGAGGGTATGTTCAACTCAACAGAAGTGTCGCTGCTGCATCAGTGCTGCTGCCGCCGCTGTTGTATTGCTGCTGCTGCAGCGCATGCTTTTGACGCAAGCGCTGCACGAGCAAGCGGCAGGCCTGTACGAAAACCAAGGAAGAGAGGCGGAGGGAGAAGCTCTTTTGCGACTCAGCACTTGTTGGCTTTAGTTCGCAGCAGCCTCAACGAGAACGAAGAACACAAAATCTATCCTGCAGCAACAGTGAGTAGATGCCGCTACAATTACTGGCTGTGGCTCGATGGCCGAGCTGTAGTGTTACTCTTCAGTGTAATATTGTGATAAACCATGATAAATCTTCAAGGAAATATTTAAGATATTGGAAAACGGAATAATTCAGCACAGAACAGGAGCTGCAAGATGAACCGTCGAACGGCACAGCCAGACACGAAGCAGTTGCGTTCTTTCAGACGCTTCGCCTTCTGTGAATCTTGAGTCTAAAAAAGTTGAGAGATAAACGAAAATGATAAATACGGGCAAAAAGGCAAAGAGAAACACAATGAAGTGCCACAGGAAAGTGGGAAGACGAAGAACAGAAAACCATAAGGCACAAAACTATGCAGCCAGGTAGGAGAGCGAACGCAAATCCATCACGCGAAGTGTTTCTAACGAAAAATTATTGTTTATGACCAAAGCAAGTAAAACAAACCTACATCAACGACAACAATCAAAAGGATCACCATTTACATGGTCTAAGCGTGTGCCGTTCGTATCGGCGTCTGTACGCCTCTGCAAGTTAAATAAAGCTTTCCCTAATTAAGAAAAACAGAAAACTGCGTGTATGAATACTTGGAGGAGCGCAAAGCCTCCCCAATTTGTCATTAGTCGCAGAGAGACGGCAGCAGTCCAAGCTTATATATATAACATACATATGTATAATTATGTATATACTTTGTTGATATATATATATAATGTATATGTATATATATAATACACCTATTGCTATATATAAAAAAAACAGCATCGAAATACTAAGGCTGGGAGAAGTAGTGCATATATGCTCAATGCGTAGGGCGGCTCTTTTCATGCCCAGAGCAATAAAACCCAGAAAGTAAGATCATCACCGTGTACAAAAACAAGCCACATTAAATATACAAGCTTTTCTCTGTGCTGTTCTTCAAGGAGACTGAATTTTCAGTGGAGGGTCAACTTCCCTCAACCAACACGAACAATATACTAAAAAATTGAGATGACATTTGATTAACGAAACCAAGGCACTAGAAAAGAATAGCATAGTACTACTTAGCAATTACAAATTACTCCACAAGTAAGCGACACTAAAGGATTCTATCAGTAGACGATAACGAAGTATTCTACAAGAAAACAAGCACAAAGACGGCACTCTCGTACGAGACATTAAACGTTGGCAGTAATACATTACTAGTAAGTGATTACTCGTAAGCAGCAGATAGCAGACAAATAAAAACTGATCCTCCCATGCAAGCTAAGACTCCAAGCGCAAGGGAGAAAGCAAAACCTCACGTGAAATACCCACAACTCCGCTAGGTTAGCGCAGAATCTGAAGAAGTGTTGGAGCGCCCGCTTCTGACATTCTCTGCTTTGATTCTACGTGAGGTAACATAAAACATACGTCGTCCCCGTATTACAGCAAAACTACAACACTTTGCGGTGCGCGTACACCCAAAGCCAATGCTAGGGAGTAGACACATCTATGTAGCCACCTCCATGTGGTGTATAGAGGGTGTAAACAAACACCTCGTAAGCAGTTGAATATAAAACTGAAACGCTTGCTGCTATGCAGATGCGTCCACCCTTGCATGCACGCTTTCTAACTACGAAGCGCTAAAGCTTACTAGGGATAAACCTAAGTGCGTTTGCGCCTGCTGTGCTGATGCAGCCAATAAGCTACATTCTTGACCCTCCAACAAAATTACAAACAACTAGATTTCTGTTGGCAAGAAAAGAAGAACGGCGCCGCATGCAGCCGGTGCTGGCTGCGTGCACTTCAGGTATCTGCACAGCGGCAGCAGCAGCTGCTGCTGCTGCTGCAGTTGCTGCCTCTTTGCGCACACAGCCCTCCGGGAGGCAAGTCCTCGGCAGGTCCTTGAACCCGGAGAAATGCCCCAAAGAAGCAGAAGAAATATTAACCGCCAGAGAGAGGGAAAAGACCGTTTACTTTTGCTTTCCAGCTGTTGTCTTCGCCTTCTCCGTTCCGCGCACCTGTGGGTGAACACAGAAACAGGAACACACAATATGGTAGAAGCAGCCAAGCAGCAGCAAGTCGTGTATGCATATTCCAACATGCATGCGAAATAAGTGCGTCAACAACAAGCAAGACGAGTTGCCTGCAACGAGGGCGCCCACTGTGCACGATTCGGCGGACGCTCGACAAGATAAGGTAAGAACTAATTAACAAGTTGGTTAGTTGACTTTCAGGCCTGCATCAATTACCTTCTTCTTTCTGTTTTTGAGTTCCTTTGTGGCTCTGCGTCCCTTTTTGGGCTGGGCCTCTGCGACACCCATCCTGACGAGTCTGTACCGATGTTCAAAGCGCTGTGCGGCTTTGAAGTCGTCGTAAATCCAGGCCTGTCCTCTGCTTCTGCCACCACCGAATGCAGTAGAGAGGTTACCCACGATAACGCAGCGAGGGTCTTGAACCTTGAACTGCTGCATGAGGCGCTGCTGCAGCTCTTTGCGGCTCACGTTCGCCCGCCCCAAGTGCAGAAGATCAACGCACATCTGCTTCCGCTGCAGCAGAGGGTTCGTCAATAACTTGCGAATACGCACTGTAAATGGAGCCTTGGAGTCTGCCATTGTGATGGGCCCTCAACACGCTGCAGCGTCCTGTTGCTCTTCAGTGCCTGCTAAGCAGAGGGAGGCGGCCGACAGGAGACGGGCGCAGCTTCAAGCAGCAGAGAGGAATATAGTTGTCGCACAAAAGTACAATACTCCGCAAAAACACGAACTCAACGCGCCGCCGAAGATGCAACGCATGAGAACCTGGCCCTCTCTCCCCCCACATCACAGGCAAACATGAACTGCGGGGCTGCAGCCGTAGCGCCCCACCCCACGGTATACGACAACCTGCTGCGCTGAAGAGTGAATTCGGTAGAAAAGCAACAGAACCGAGCAAAGAAAAGCCTCGGGAGGGATCTTCAGGACTCTGTGCTGATCGCCTGCTTCTGAAAACACCAAAATGAGGTACGCCCGCCTTGGCGACATTTCATCGGTTGGGCAGCGGTGGGGAGACCCTTCCCTTAGAATCGCGGATTTTGATTATTTGAACCTCTTCTTTTGCATCTTCATGAACAAACATACCAGAACATTAGGGGGAAGAAGAAAAGGTCTCCTGTTTCCACACGCAGGAATGTGATGCCTACGGCTGGACGTTTTGTACATGCTTGGTCGGCAGAACCATGCCGTATGGACAGTAGCTGGGTTTTTACCGAGGGAGGCTGGCTGTGTACATTGCCTTAGAGGTGTTTTCGACTTGACTGCCTTCTTTGAAAACTCCAGAGGCTGTTTCGACTGCCCTTCCTGCCTTCCTGGAAGTATTCGTTGCGGTTTGCGATGTACATCCGGAAGGAGAAGAAGCTGACGATGCATTGCTCCGTGCCTAACGAGGCGCCTGCTTGTGTGTGCACGATGCGGGAACGCGAAGAATTTTTGATGCAGTTCTATGTCTTCTACTTATGAGCCAGCTTGTTGCCAGAATCTGAATGGCGGTGCGTGCGTATGCTCTCCTTGGTTTTTTGCGCAGCAAGCTAAGCCAGGAGACCCTCAACGCGGCCATCGCCTCCATTTTGAAGGGGTCGCAGGAGAAGAAGAGGAAGTTCGTGGAGACGATTGAACTGCAGATCAGTGGGGAAATCACTCCATCTTATATGCTGCATGCGCGCAGCACGTGTTTTTCCTAATTGTCATCAACTGTTGTGACTTTGTTTAAGCAATCATACCTGCGAATCTGTTGTGGGTTGTTTTGGCGCAGGCTTGAAGGACTATGACACGCAGAGAGACAAGCGTTTCTCCGGGTCTGTAAGGCTGCCTCACGTGCCTCGTGCTAAGTCGAAGGTAGGTATTTTTCCCTCGCTTGTTTTGCTTAGGCGCGTATTTTTTTGAATTTGTCGTGCTGCGCCTCGTTTGCATCTCTGGCTGTCGTATATCGTCTTTCGGCACAGGTTTGCGTAATTGGCGATGCCGTGCACATGGAGGAGGCGAAGGCGTTGGGCTTGGACTGCATGGACATTGAGGCCCTCAAGAAGATAAACAAGAACAAGAAGATCGTCAAGAAGTTGGCTCGCAAGTGAGTTCAACTCTTTCGCATTGGAATTTCCTCATCTTCATATTTTTGAGCGTGTCTGGAGCGAGCGCAGGCTGCGTTTGCCAATCTGCACACTGTCCTTAATTTCTTGCTTTTGCATGCGTTTAGGTACGATGCCTTCTTGGCCTCTCAGGCTCTGATTCCGCAGATCCCGCGTTATCTCGGGCCTGGCTTGAACAAAGCCGGCAAGTTCCCCACCTTGATTACACACCAAGACAAAATAGAAGACAAAATCCTTGAGGTCCGCTCCTCTGTCAAGTTTCAACTCAAGAAAGTCCTATGTATGGGCGTCGCTGTGGCCAACGTGGAGATGACTGAGGCCCAGGTATGCAGTGCATGCAGTCATGTTTAGTGCGTATGGGTTGGGGTTTAGGGTTTGGGTTATAGGCATTGGCCCTGTTTGCAGTGGCTGTGAGGGGTGTGTGTGTTAGTGGATGTTGAGTATCTGGAGGGCTTGGTGTATTTAGTCGAAATGGTTAGTGTGTGCTGTGTATTTGGGTTGTACATACAGGTGCGCTACAACCTGACGATGGCGATCAACTTCCTCGTTTCTTTGCTGAAAAAGAATTGGAACAACGTGAAGCGACTGCACATTAAGAGCACCATGGGCAAGTGCCACACCATCTACGGTTGAGGCGTTAGCTTTCTTCTTTCATACTCCGCCCTTGTTCTTGGGAGGCCACTTGCAGCTGCATGCACGCACATGCATGCGCAACTTTTGCTGCGTGCCGTGGCCTCGGCGAGAAGCTGCAGGTGCTGCTGCAGCAGCAGGTGCAGCCGCCCCAACACTTGCAGCTAGGCCAGCAGCACCTCAACAGAATGGGAGGGGGGAATGAGGCGGTGGAAACGAAATTAATGAGTGTTGTTTGACAGGGCAACGATTTATACGCGAAGATATACCAGTAGATTGAGCGTGTTGTTCGCTATTTAGATGTACAGATGTTAGGCGTTTAGACCTATTACTCAGAAAAAAGTAGAGGCCAGCTCACAGTCGCGTCTTGGTTACGCCTCAGCGTACTCTGGTTTAGATCCTACTGAAGGGGAGAAAGACAATTTGGAAGGTACTTTAGGTTAAGCAATCTAAAAGCGATGGGGAAGGAAGAGCTGCTACAGCAGCCGTAGTTTGCTTTTCTTCTTCCGCTTGTTTCCTTCGCTGTTTGCGTGACCCCCGCAACTGTTGTTTCCTCCATTGTTTCTATATATTTATGCTGTAAACGCACTTTTCACATGCAGTATAATTCATGTATTGAGGATTATGCATATGATTTGTGCATTATACTCCAACTCAGCCGTTCAGATGGCTTGTTTGAGGGTCAGGAAATCTGCTGCTTAAGAGGGGCTTCGAAGTCCTTATCGCCGTTTTTGCTGGGGGATTTGTTTCGCTATTTTGTCGCACGCGACGCCATTACGTGTGTTCATATATATATATATGTATATATATATATATATATATATATATGCATTGTGGAAGGTGCGTGTGCGAGTTGGCGTAAATAAAGCGGACGCCTTCAGTCGCATGCATCTGCATGCGCCTGCACGGCTCGCATGCTGCTGCGTGCAGGTGCATGCGACTGCAGAGGTAAGGAAGACCGTACCGGTGTCTGTCTGTCAGAGGCTTACGCGCGTAACACTTTACGGCATTAGCTGATTATTGTGGGCCAGAAGGAACAGGCCCTTCTTTTGCATGTGGTGTTTGCAGCACCGCTGTGTTTAATATATTTTCTTCGATTCGTCTTATTGCGTCCTCTTCTGCATCGCTGTTGTCCTTAAGCGCTGCTATAAGCCGCTCTAAATGATGGGCCTTCAGCTGCAGCGGCTCACTCCAGTTGATTCTGCTGCACTCCTCCTTCTGTTGCCGCAGCAGAAGCCGCTGCTGCAGCCGCCGCCGCAGCACCTCTCGCCTTCCCCCTTTGCCGCGTGTCACCCTTGGGGTGTATCGACTCCTCCTCCGGACTTCCTTCTGAACGCCGCTTTCGGCCCACAGACGCGCAAACTGCCGACTGGCTGCAGCATGCCTGGAGAGATAAGTAGACAGAAAAGAACAGACAAACTGATTGATATGAAATCCCTGGGATGCGTGCGTATGCACGAAGATACATGCACAAGTGGTCATTCCAATACTTCAATGCAACAGAAAGAACAACAGATGCTGCTGCTGCCGATGCTGTTCGCGTTGCAGCTTCTACTGAAGCAGCAGAAGCTGTATTTACAGCTGCAGCAGTTGGGACTAACATTTGCTCGAGTTGTTGACTGGTTGTGGCTCCGTCTGGATTGAGGAGAATAGAAAATCCGAATCTCCTTGAGCTGCTTTGAGCGCCTTTGCACCTCCTCTCTGTTCCTCTACCCCTTCTGCCTGCGGTGTGCAGACAGCCTGAAGTGTGGCCTCTCTCTGCAGCTGCAGAAAAGAACGAGAGGGAAGACAACGGCTTGCTGAGGGGGGATAAACGCACAGAGACAAAAGCGGAAGGAGGAACCGATGGACTTCTGCTGGGTCCCCAGGCCTTCCACTGCGCCTCGCTGGGGAAGAAGGAGGCACCTGGAAGGAATGAGATGGCAGTGTAGACTGCCGCTGGTGCTGCTGCTGGCAGCAGCTGCAGCAGCAGCAGCAGCATACGTATCACCAACAAGCTCAGGGCCCGCCAACGGGGGACCGCAGGCCTCCTCAATCTGATGAACGCCTTTTGCATATCTTCGCTGCTGTAAAAGCCAAAGATAATTAAATCAAAATAAAAGAGGAAACCAACAATCTAATGGAAGGGACCGCATCAGCGGACTGGTTGCGCGTTCACATCTTCGCGCAACAAACAGAAAGCGAGCGCCATACGAAGAGTAGTTTTTAAGCGTAGACGCTTAACATGGTTATTTAGAAGAAACACTAAATATTATTTTTAGTTTACAAACAGAAATAGACGGAAACTACAACAAGGTCTGCTGTAGGGGAAGACGAGGAGGCCCCGGGCCTCCCCGCCGAGTCGCAGCTAGAGCATTCGCAGCAGCATATGTATCCAGTAAATATGGGGGGAATTGAACGAATTAATATACAAAAGTTCCCTTCATTTGTTTTTCTTTGTAATTTAATAATGTGTTTACACTAAACAGGCGGAGATATCACTGCAGTAGCCCTCAAAACACCCTGTGGGCTTCGGCAGCTGCAACGCCAACCCAGTCAATGCCTGCTGTTTCTTTTGCAGGTTATTACAGAAATACTACGTATTTAGTCAGATGTATACGCAGACATCACGCACTAAGTCAGGCCTATACCCAAACGACACTCACTATTTCAGGCGTATGTATGCATGCATCATTGAAAGCCTAGTAAGTTGACTTCACATGCATCACTCAAATCAGACGCATACGCACACATCACCCATCAAATAAGGTGTAACAACAGATGCTACCCATTATTTCAAGCATGCCTGTGAATGCTACAGACGTTGCCTGTGTGCACCAAACAGAGACCGACTCCCTACAGAGGAGCTTGCATTATATTACAACAGAAGTATAAATAGTACTCAACAAGTGTCACTAAAAACAAGCCTTATTCGATAGCATCAAACGGCATTAAACTGCCGCCATTAAACGGCACTCGCTATCAACCCTATTCGTTCTTCCCCTTATTACCGGGGTGAATGAGTCGCAGAAACAAATTGAGAAATGATGCGTTTGCATGCATAAGGAGTAAAGGAGAGCTAATATTCTCCTCTTTAGCTTCGTCTCCTTTTAGACAGCAGTACTTGCCCATTCTAAGTATTATCGTTTCACGTTCATTATTCACATTATTAACACACAATTAAAGCCTGTTATTATCATTAATCCAGATCGAGAAATGGTATGTGGGAAGGGCTGTCATTTAAGCCATCTTCAGACTCGGTGTACGTGCACCTCACCACTGCAGATACTGAGAAGAGTACATCATGCAGTCTTTGTTCTAAAAAAAGTAAAACTTTAAAGACGCATTTCTTCACGTTTGCTGTACATCTCGTTCTCTGCACTGCGACAGACGACCGGCGGCTGCTGTTTGAAGGAGCTCAATAAGAGGTAAAGCGAGAAAGACAAAAAAAGGAATAAAACCACCTATAACCATCTAAATAAATATAATATTTAGACAAAAAAACAAAGGGGCTAGCGCCCCTTTGCTTTTTTTTTAGGTGTCGCTGTCTTTGCAGCTTGCTTCCCCCCCTGAGCTGCAGATGAGGATCCCGCCTTCGCTCGCGGCCCTCCTGCTTTTGCTGTTGCTCCTGCGGCGTTCTGAGGTCGCATTGTCTTGTCGAATTTATTTACGTCTTCAGGACGGACTGAGGAGCGTAACGCAACAAACAGACGCAGCACAGCCCAACGCCTAACTAACTAAGGCTTGGAGACCCAACTTGCAGCACAGGTTTTACACGGAGATATATTAACACACAGAATATTAATCGATAAGGGGACAAGCAAAATAACAGGCACGCAACGAGATATAAATGGAAATATATATATATATATATATATATATATA